AGCTTCTCCACCTGCCACTGTTTCTACCTTGTCGCTCCTGAATTGCAATAATATCTCTTCAGCTGGGGTTCCTGCCTCCAACCTTGTCCCTCTCCAGTCCATCCTCCCTCGTCTGCAGGAATGCCTGTCTCATCCTTCTTCCACCCCTCCCTGCCAATTCTCCCTGCATACAAACTCCTTAATGTGTGGGCAAGGCTGACTCTTTAGACCAGGGTGCCGCTTCCCTCTTGAGCCCCCATCCCGGCTCTGCTCAGTGCGCCTCCTGCTTTGCTGGACTTCCGGGGGTTCTCCGGAGGCATTGCGTGGCCTGAGCATCTTGTCCCACTCTAACCCTCTGCCTGGAGTCCCCTCTGTCACTAAGACTGTATGGTCAGTTCGGTGCTGTTTGACCTCATTGCCATTGCCTCCTCTGAGAAGCCTCCGCAGCTAGGGCCCCTCTGTGCTTCCAAAGCACATTCGATTTTTGAATTCCATCTCTTCAGAGTCAAGTGTCGCTGAACTTCTTCTGAGCAGGACTAGGCATTAATCTTCTGTGTTTCCCTAATACCTAGTGTGGTTCCAGGCACAAACTGGCATTTAATAAAGATATTTTTAGCAAAAGAATGTTGAGCTCTCAAGGATTTTACATTGCTGATGTCTCTCAAAATGTGCCAGACTAGCTGCATGATTGATGCTGGATACCTGCAAGGTAGGAATTTGTACAGTGTAGATAAAAGGGAGTGTAGTAAGTATGATTGCTTATAAAATGGCAGTCCTAGCCTATTTGTCTGTTTTCTCTGAAAGAGTCACCTTACCAGACAACAGAAAAAATTTGGATCCAAGGAAATTAGAAGCAAAGAATATGTATTTTAATGAAAAAGATGTATACTTTCAATCAAGCGATTCCATTCTTAAAGGATGTACATTTTCCACCGCACTATATATTCTTTGCTTCTAATGTTAATGATTAGAAGAGAAAGCCAAGATGCACTGCAATGATATTCAGAGAAGTTCTGTTTGACAGTGAAAAAGTTTAAATAATCTAAGTATCCAACAATGGGACATTGGTTAAGCAAATTATGGTAATCTTTATGGCAGAATACTATGCAGCTGTTAAAAATGATGACATTGAGATAATACTTGCTATATATTTTTGAGTGTGAAACAGGTCACAAAGTGACATGTATCAGCTCATTTAAATAAATTATAAACATGTATAGATGAATGTGCAAATAAATCTGTGTGATTGTGGATGACTATAATTTTTTTATTATTCGTGATATGTTTCTGCATAGTTTGAATTCTTTTACAATCCAGAAGCATGTAGTTATGATGTGTGTATGCTGCATACCCCTGTGTGTATACTCACCTCCTGGCTGCATTCTTGGATGTGTCTTTCTGAGGACCAGTATGAGAGCATCTGGGGTGTATACCTGGGAGTGGGGCTTCTGGATCCTGGGGGGTGCTCATTCTTGATTTCCTTGAGTAGGCACCAGTGTAGGTTTCCATCTGCAGAGCCTGAGGGTTCTCAGATTCTCACATCATATCCAACACTTAGTATTGTCTGACTTTCTAATGCTTTCCAATCTGATGGGTATAATTTGGTATTAATTGTTTTGTTTTATATTTCTTCATTTTCTACCAAAGTTGAGCCTCTGTCTCTTCCAAATGTTCTCCTTAATCAATCTGATTTCCCCATCTATAGAATCATGTCCACCTTTTTAAATGTATTTCATCATTAAGGCAAACCGTTTTTACACAGGAGACAAAATCGGAAGGAGGGAAAGCTGGTTGGAGACTGAGTGCCCTCTGCCGGGTACCTTCACATGTGTGAGAGCAGTCCTGTAGGCACCCGGTGTGGTGGACCCCCTGGGTCTGCTACTTGGCAGGTTTATGGGAGCTGAAAGGGAATCAGCAAAGAGGCTGTCTCTAGGAAGTAAAAAGCTGTGTTTCTCCTAATTTTTTGATATTGGGAAACATCTGGTGATGTTACATGGATTCAGGACAACACACATAAGCCAAGGACTGCTGGTATCAGTACCCTTTGGCCCCTACATTCACTCAGAACACTTTATTGTCTGAGTTCTGGAAGGAATCTGACTTTACGCTCTGGTGTCTCATGAGCAGAGTGGGGGCAAGTCAGGAAAACCCTGCCACCTTGAAACCACAATGTTCCTTTCATCCTGGGGATCCTTTCCCAGTCTTGGAGAGTCTCCCATCTCCACAATGCAGGCTCCACTTCTCCCAGATCTCTGTTGGCTGCATGCCCAGCCACTTCTTATTTCAAAATCTCTGTAAAATCCTCTTATCTGAAAGGAGGGTTCTTTTGGTGCTTCCCGAGGGATTGGGAGGTTGAATTCTAAACGGTCTGACATTGCCCAGCTGTCAGTGGAAAAGGTGCACACTGCCATGCCCTGAAGACATTGGAACCACAGATGCTTAGTTAATTTTACTAAGCCTGGTCTTTGAAAAGGACGAGAACTGTCCTACTTATCTTGTATTTCCTAAATTTTTTATTGTGTGTGTATTACATTTGTAATAAGAACAGTTATTTAAAAGAAAATATAAAAGCTTAATACTTTTAGCATTTAGGGAAAGTTACCATTAAATTTTTTTTGTCATTGCTTATTATTTAATAGTATATCAATGTTATTTTAATAAATTGGAATTTTGGGTGGAGCCATGGTTAGAAGATCCAGCCCCATTTTCAGGTTTGAGAAAGGATGTGGGACTTGTTTAGCATCAGTCAGTCATTTCTCATTGCTTGCCCGAGGCTTTGAATTGAAGGGAAAAAACTATAGAAGTGACAAATGTTCATCTTCTTTCATGTTTGATATTATATGCCACAGTGAAGAAGTGTTAAACAAATTGGATACAGCCAAAATCCAGATTCTTTAAATAAGAGAGTAGAAAGCAAGCCCTAGATTCAATTCTCCAAAACATCATGGTATAGGGAGAGAACAAGATCGCTCAAATGGTTCTTAACTGGGGAGGATTTTGCCCTCTGGTGTTATTTTGTCATATCTGGAGACATTTTTGGTTGTCAGGGTGGGGAGCAGCTGTAGGGATAGGGAGAATTTACTACTGGCATCTAGTGGGTAGAGGCCAAGATGCTGCTAAACATACTACAGTACACAGAACAGCACCTCCACCCCCACCCAAAGAATTATCCAGCCCCGAATTTCAAGGGTGCCAGGGTTGAGATATGCCGAGAATCTCAGCTTCAAGGCCTGCTGGTTGTCTGATACGGTCAGTTTATTGAACCTTTCTGGGTGCTGTTTCTCATCATTAATTAGAGTACATGCTTCCAAGGGCTATTGGATGTTTAGAATGAGAGTGTGTCAACTAAGTCTCTGGCTCTCCTTTAAGCAGCCAAGTGTCCTGTTGTATTGAAAAATACGATTCTGAAAACAGATGTAATTTACACCCAACCTTTTGGTCTTGCTTCTGTCCATAAATGAGGATGCAGCCATATGACCACAATTATCAGGCAGGTGCATCTGTTTCTGGACTTCAGTCTAGGGGCTTGGATGCTCAGCTTGGCCCTTTCTGGGCCTCCAAGATGTGGTAGGCTGAGTTTGGCCCTGTCCAGCTAGGTCTCCCCAACACTGAACCCAGCACCTAGGAGAAAACATGGCTGAGTAGACAGTGTTCTTCCCAGGGTGTTTAGTTAGCACCCACTGTGAACATAGGGGTGCCATGGGACACATCAGAGGTCAAGGACCATCCAGCTCAATCTAGGGGATAGGATAATGCCCTTTGTTGACAAAAACCCCAAACTCTATATGAGTGACCATATTGGCTTGGGGAACAATATCAAGAGGTCCTGAGAACATGGGCCTGAGGTGGTCAGGTTTCAGCCTGGCTTTATACATTTTAGGGAGATAGAAGTTACAGGCAAAGACATGAATCAATATATGGATGGTTTACTTTGGTTCAGCCCAGAAAGGTAGGGCATCTTGAAGTGGGGCCTATAACCCTATAGGCCATAGGCAGATTCAAAGAGGTTTTGATTGACAGTTGGTTGAAAGAGTTAAGCTTTGTCTAAAGACTTGAAGGCAATAGAAAGAAATGCTTGAGTTCAGATAAGAGGGGTTGTGGAGACCAAGGTTCTTGTTATGTAGATGAAGCCTCCAGGTAGCAGGCTTCAGAGAGAATAGATGGTAAATGTCTCTTTTCAGACCGTAAAAGGTGTCAGACTTTTAGTTAATCTCTCCTAGATCCACCAAAGGCCTAGCTGCATTAATGAAGATTCTCTACAGATGCAAAAATTTCCCCATAAAAGATGGCTTTGCAGGGCCATTTCAAACTATGTCACAGATATTTTTGGGTAAAATTTCATTTCCTTCGGGGCCTGCTATTTGTCATGTGATGCTATACAGAATCAGGTTGGAATTTGCTATCTTATTGCCACAAAGAGCCTTGTTTTGCCAGTCTTATGATCTCTATTTCATTATTGATGCTGGTCATTTGTGCCTAAACTCCAAAAGGGAGGGGTATAATACAGCATGTCTGACCTTCTTTCTTGTCTAGGCCTGGAATTTAGTTTTTCAGGTTTGAACAGCCAGGTCTGTTCAACTGGCTGGGGGGCTTAGAATTTTATTTTTGACTTATGCCTTGAATGATTCTACTTGGCAGATAAGGAGCCATCCAGTCCCACAGGGGAGCCATGTATTAAAAGCAGTGCTAGATAAACTGAGAAAGGATGGGTACAGTGGCTTTGGTTAGGGACCAGAATAGTCTGGGAAGGCATGGTGGCGGAGGAGGACTATTAGGACTTGGCAGGATGGGAGGAAGAAGAGGTTCTTCCAGGACCAGATGGGTGAAGCAAGCTTTGCCGAGGGTAGGGTTTGTGAAAAATGATCACTTGGAAATATGTGATGATGATGACAATAATGACAACTAATATTTATTAAGCCTTACTGTGTAATGGACTCTGTAATAAGCATTTTATATGCTTTCCTCGTGCCTATGAGTGGTGTACTGTCAGTCCTGTCAACAAAAAGAGTCAAGCTCTGTAAAATATTTAAAGAGATTTATTCTGAGCCAAATATGAGTGGCCACTGGCCCATGACTCAGCCCTCAGGAGATCCTGAGAACATGTGCCCAAGGTGGTTGGGGTACAGCTTAGTTTTATACATATTAGGGAGACATGAGACATCAAATACATGTAAGATGTACATTGGTTTGGTCCAGAAAAGGCAGGACAACTGGAAGTGGGGATGGCTTCCAAGCCATAGGTGGATTCGAAGATTTTCTGTTTGGCAATTGGTTGAAAGAGTTAAGTTATTGTCTAAAGACTTAGAAATGTCTGGGTTAAGATAAGTGGTTGTGGAGACCAAGGTTTTATTATGCAGGTGAAGCCTCCAGGTAGCAGGTTTTGGAGAAAATAGATTGTAAATGTTTCTTGTCAGACTTAAAGGGTCTATCAATAATTCCAAAGGGGAGGAGGGTAGAATCAGGTATGTCCAGCCCCCTACCCTTCCCAGCATGGCCTGAATTAGTTTTTCAGGTTAGCTTTGGCACTGCCGAGATTCCAAATTGCCATCAATAGCCTTCCTGAGAGGACGGGTTCATTCATGTGGTCGAGGGGCTTAGAATTTTAATTTTGGTTTATCATCCCCATTTCACAGATGAGAAAACCAAGGCTCAAGTGGTGAAGTGTCTTGCCTGAGGATGAGCAGCTGGGGAAGGGGAGGAGTCTGGCTCACCCTTCCCATCGCAGCTGGATTTTGGAAGTCAATTCTAGCTGGAGGATTTGGGGATTTGTAGTGGGTGAGAGGAGCAAATGGAGGATTTGAACACAGGAGTGAAGTAATCACAGGGCTTCTGTAGAAATGTTGGTCCAGATTAGATTGTACCAGGGATTTACCAAGAATGCATGAATAGTTACGTGGCTGGTGTAGGGGGTGCAGGATGGCTGGGGAGACCTGTGGAAGGTGCTGGAAGGACCACTTGGGAGGACTGGAGGCCTGAGTGGATGAAGAGGAGAAAGAGGAACGTGTTAGACTGTCCTGAAGGGCCCAGAGAAGGAGGGCATTGTGAAGGACGTGGCCAGAAAGGGAAGGGTGTAGGTTTGGTGAGGAAGAAGAGGACTCATAGGTGAAACTTACTCATGAAAACTCCAGTCATGTAGCTGGGCCTTGGGGCTGGGTGGAGGGGGCATTGGGAGCATCTGCCTAGAAGGAGTGGGTGGTGAGGACTGACATTCCCATGCCTCCCCTACCCAGGCTGCAGGGATAAGTGGTACTGAAAGGGCCCCTTATGACTTGTGTCCCAAAGCACTGTGACCTCAGAGTTTCCAGGTGGTGGTCAGGTCCCCTGGGTCCACCAAGGGCCCCTCTGAGTCATCTTGCCACTGTCCTTGACTCCATGGAGCTGCCCCTAGAGGCTACCTTCTCTGCTTTAAACCTCACTTCCCTCCCCTGGCACCTTATATAAAAACAAAGCAGAACCAACCCTTTGCAAACACACCTGAGAGCTGGAGGAACAGGTCTTGGGGCATTTGCTGTTGCCGGATTTAATGTGTACTGCTTTTGTCTTGGAAGAGTAAGCATTGGATCTGTCCCTCAGGGACTGAGAGAGGGAAAGAGAAACAAGGTGGGGAGCAGATGGAGGGTAAACACTTTACTGTAATGAAGAAAACCTGAAGACTTGTCATTGAGCTCTTCAGGTTTGTCTGGACCATGCTGGATGATCCTCTATGAAGCATAAGCCCCCAGGGGCATAGTCTGTGCAGTGTGCTGCATGCCCATCCTGGGGTCAATCAACAGTGCTAACACTTGGTTAACTAACCCCAATGGGATGGTGCCCAGGAGGGAGAGGAAGCAGCTAGGTTATATAAATAATGGTCAACACTCCTTAGTCATGGTTGAACTGTTGGTGAACAGAGATAAGGAAGGATTTGGTGGAACGTGCATATCATTACATCTCTCTGGACTCATGATTTTGAGCCAAATTACTAAATATCACTCATGCTTGGCACATAGGACCTAATGAACCATGGTCAGGGAACCAAGTCAGAGATGGCAAACTGATGGCCTGGGGCCGAAAAATCTGGCCCACAGACATTTTTTTTGTTTTTTGGTCTGCACGGTGTTTTAAAAACTAAGATAGTTGAGAACACTTATAAGTTAGGAGCCTTTATATAAAAATCTAGATTTCCTGCTTCTTTTGACAGAAGGGGATACATGGAAGTGCAAGACCTCTGTTCCAGGGGCAGCCGGACAGGAACTGGGTGGCTGCCACTCTACCTAGGCTGGGCAGGGTGCCGCTGTTTGTGCCTTTTTGACTCGAAGACAGAGCATTGTCCACCACTTGTCACTGTTGTTTGTTCCCTCGTTTAGGTCTTGGCAATCCTGCTGCTCTGGTTTCTTTTGTGTACAAGGCCTTCGGGCATTTGAGTTATTGACCTGGTATGTTGAGCCATGGTGCTTGACTGGGTGACTGGGTGCTGGGTGCTGGAACAGAGGGGCTACAGTGTGGTGGGAGGGGGTGCCCCAGGACAGGGGTGAGTCGAGGGTGCATCCAAGGTCTCCCCAGCCTCTGTGTTGGGGAGGGATCTGCCGGAGCTGGATTGTGTTGGAGCTTGGCTGCTGGAGATCTGGAGGCTCTTGCTGCACTATAGGAAAATACTTCTGCCTCGTGTGACTTATTGTTTGTCTAAAGTGGCCCACCTGCAGTGGAATAAGATGAGATTTCTATCACACTGGTGTTTGCCTCTCAGTGGCATGTCAAAAATGCTCTAGGTGGAAGGTGTCGGGTGGAGCTCAGAGGGCTGTGCCCAGGGCAGAAAGGGAGGTAGGCTGGTTATTGGGAATGTGTCTTGGTGGCAGGCCATGGTGGCAAGACCCTGGCTAGCCTGTTGATTGTCCAGGGGCCTCCAACACCTGCTTCCTTAGAGGGTGGGGCAGAGGCTAGGGCTGAAGAGTGGGTTCTGAGTCATGTTCTTCATTTCTTCAAGTGTAGCTGGTTTTCTAAGGGAAGCTCTGTTACTTCTTGTGTCCTGAGGAGGAGGTGCAGTGTAGAGCCTGTTACTTCTTGTGTCCTGAGGAGGAGGTGCAGTGTAGAGCTCAGAGGGTAAAAGCGAGGCAGGTCTGTGTCCTCAGAGAATCAGAGGGACCACCTGGCTCAGGGTCGCCTGCTAGTCCTCCTGTCTACACTGGCAGCACCTGTGTGCTTCAGTCTTCCTCTCCCATGATCCATTTTCATTTTCTTGATTGCTTTTTCCAAATGTCAGAGTTCACATTTGCTGTTTGTTGACAAGTAATATAGTTTTGGCAGAACGCTGGTCCTTGGGCTACAGAACTACTTCAGTGGAAACAGCCAAGGTGGAGGAAAGGTTTGAGTCACTGAGTTTGGGTTCTGAAGTCACCAGTAGAGCTGGGTAAAGCCACACGGAGGTGGCCATGGGTGGGCTCTGGGGAAAGGGTCGCCTGCCAGAGGGGCAGCTGACATAGACTTAGTCCATTTCAAATTTATTTTAATCATTTATATTGAATTTTATTTATTTACTTGGTTTTAAAATAGGTCATATGTTCACATGGTTCGAAATTCACAAAGAACAAAAGAGGATATAACAAAAAGCATTCTACTCTTTAGCCACACAATTTTCTTCACTTTATGTTGTCAATTTCTTGTCAAATCTTTCCAGGGAGATTTTATAAATGTAGAAGCAAGTGAATGTAATATATACATGCATACACACACACACACACACACACACACACATTCCTTCCCTATTTCTTATAATGACTTTAGTGAGATATAACTTATATACCATATTCACTCATTTAAAGTGTCCAACCCAGCCAGGCATGGTGGCTCATGCCTGTAATCCTAGCACTTTGGGGGCCAAGATGGGAGGATTGCTTGATGCCAGGAGTTTGGACCAGCCTCGTCAACATAGCCAGACCCTATCTCTCTAAAAAAAAAAAAAGTGTCCAACTCAGTGGTTTTTAGTATATTTACAAAGTTATGCATCTATCACTGAAATCAATTTTAGAATACATTCATCACTCCAGACTGAAACCATGAATCCATAGTAGTTAATCCCTATGCGTCTCTGAATTTTCTTTATGTGTATAGATTTCCCTATTCTGGTCTCTCATATACATGGGGCCATACAATGTGTAGTCTTTTGTGAATAGCTTGTTTTATTTAGTATAATGTTTTCAGGGTTCATCTATGTGTAGCATGTATCATTTCTTTTTATTGCCGTATAGTGTTCCATCAAATGGGTATACCATCTTTTATTTACCCATCCATCAATGGATAGATATTGTACTAGCCTGTTCTCAGGGGCTGCTATAAAGAACTGCCTGAGACTGGGTAATTTAAGAAGGAAAGAGGTTTGATTGCCTCACAGTTCTGCATGGTAGGGGAGGCCTCAGGAAACTTATAATCATGGCAGAAGGGGAAGCAAACATGTCCTCTCATGGTGGCAGGAGAGGGAAGTGCAGAGCGGAGCGGGGAAAATCCCCTTATAAAACCATCAAATCTCATGCGAACTCACTATCATGGGAACAGCATGGGGGAACTACCCCCATAATCTTTTTTTTTTTGAGACGGAGTCTCGCTGTGTCTCCCAGGCTGGAGTGCAGTGGCGTGATCTCGGCTCACTGCAAGCTCCGCCTCCCGGGTTCACGCCATTCTCCCGCCTCAGCCTCCCAAGTAGCTGAGACTACAGGCGCCCGCCACCACGCCCGGCTAGTTTTTTGTATTTTTTTTTTAGTAGAGACGGGGTTTCACCATGTTAGCCAGGATAGTCTCGATCTCCTGACCTTGTGATCCACCCGCCTCGGCCTCCCAAAGTGCTGGGATTACAGGCTTGAGCCACCGTGCCCGGCCTACCCCCATAATCTAATCACCTCCCACAAGGTCCCTCTCACAACACATGGGGATTATGGGAACTATAATTCAAGATGAGCTTTGGGTGGGGACACAGCCAAACCATATCAGATATTTAAGTTGTTTCCTTTTTGGGGCTATTATGAATAATGCTGCTCTGAACAAGTGTATGAGTTTTTGTGTGGACATATATATATTTTGATGGCTCTTGGGAATATACCTAGGAGTGGAATTTCTGGGTCATGTGATAACTCCATGTTTAACCTTTTGACAAACTGCCAAATGGTTTTCCAAATTGCTGTACTAGTTTACATCTCACTAGAAGTGTATGAGGGTTATGATTTCTTATATCCTCACCAACATTTGTTATTGTCTGTCTTTTTGCTTATAGCCATCCTAGGGGGTGTGAAGTGGCATCTTGTTGTGGGTTTAATTTGCAATACACTGACGGCTAGTGATGTTGACCTTGTTTGCATTTGTGTGTTGTGCACTTGTAAATCTTCTTTCAAGAACTGTCTATTCAGGTCTTTTGCCCATTTTACTTTGGATTATTTGTCTTTTTATTATTGATGGGTAAGAGTTCTTTATATATTCTACATACAAATACTTTGATCAGATGTATAGTTTGCAAGTGATTCCTCCCATTCTGTGGGGGTGTCTTTTCACTTTCTTGATTATATCTTTTGAAGCACAAAAGTTTTAAATTTTGATGAGTCCAATTTATGTAGTTTTTCTTTTGTTGGTTTTGCTTCTGGTGTCATATTTAATAAGCCATTGTCTAATCCAGTGTCACAAAGGTTTATGCTATTTTTTCCTATAAATTTGGCTCTTACATATAAGTCTTACATACTTATATGGAAGCTCCATTTTGAGGTAATTTTTGTATATGGTGTGAGTTAATTTTTTTACATGATTTATAGGGGTCCAACTTTATTCTTTTGCATGTGGATATCTTTTCTATCTCTTATACATACACTATGCTTGTCATCTTGCTTTATAAAAATATCTTGTGTGTCTGGATGGTTATTCCTTGTTAGGCTATAAAAAACTCTTCATTCGTTTATATAGGTGCTTAGTGTTCATTATATGGATGTAACATAATTTGTTTAATCAATCTCTAGTGTTCATTATATGGATGTAACATAATTTGTTTAATCAATCTCTAGTGTTCATTAGATGGATGTAACATAATTTGTTTAATCAATCTCCTGTTAATGGACATGTAGGTGTCATTTCACACATGTGGAAACATACCTGTAGGACTATCGGGGGAAACCCCACCCCCGATATTCAACGTGGGTTCTTTTCTATTTCCCTAAGCATTAGCTGGTCTGAGAAATAAAGGGAAAGAGTACAAAAGAGAGATTTTAAAGCTGGGTGTCCGGGGGAGACATCACAAGTCAGCAGGTTCCATGATGCTCCCTGAGCCAT